TCTTTCTTTCTTTCTCTATAACTCGTTCGCGCTCTCTCGCCACCGACGTGTCTCGGTGTGTGAAGTGTGTCAAGGCTCACCCCCACTCCGCAATCCCATTTTCGAAACTAAAAGTAAAATCTAACCGATTGTGCTGTTACACGTCGTATTATCGTAATGCATATTTTTGTCGCGTTGGCGGTTCCTCGATGCATCATTCACGAAAATCAACAGAGCGCATACATCTAATCGCGCAAACGTAATTAAATATTACGAAAATCTGCAAAGATAATAGAATAATAATATGACAAAGTTGCTTTCTTTTTATTACCATCGATTGTGTGTTTAGTGAGTAGCACTTTGCTGCGAGTTAATCGCACAATCGAAAAGTCCGGAGCTATATTTGTTTAACCCACATTTTCCACGTTTTGAGATGTTTGCGATGGAAAATGACAATTTTCCATCAACTCGAACGGTGATAATAACGTATTTGAAGTAATGATTTAGATAAATTGCAAGCTTTGAACCACATCAATTTTCGATAAATCAATAAAAAATTGATTTTATCTCAACGAGCAATCACGAATAGTTTTCGTAAGCAATTCTGAAAAAAGGTCGATCCCCGGTGTGTGACCTATTTCCCAAGTCAATCCGCCGTGTCCGTGTTCTTGCAATAAAGATTTCGCAAAAATTGCCGCTCTCTTTGTCGAGAAAGACCAAGGAAGCGAGGGAATGAGAGAAAAAAATATGTGTGTATGTGAAAGAGAGGGAGAGAGAGAGAGAGAGAGAGAGATAGAGAGAGAGATGGCGAGAGTGTTTTATCCACGAAACGCGAATCGTCGTTTTGCAGGCCAGTTCGCACGTCCTTGACACATTTACCCACATGGGGTACCGCGAGAGACCACGTGTTGGTGTGCTCGTAGCGTATATCGATGCCTGCATGCGCCTTTGCGACGCATCGACAGACGTACTATTGCATAGGATATCGCGAACTACGCGCGCAAATATGCTATTACGTATGATTAGTGAGAGGAAAAGAACAAGAGAGAAAAACACGGGTACACAAAGATCGTTTGAGAACTCTATCGCCACTTCTTTCATCTGCTAACTCCTCTTTTTTTCAGCTCGCCATCGATTTCTTCTCGACCAAAATGTCGAGCCATCGACGTTTTTGAATTACAAGCGATCGGAATGTAAAGGTGTTGCTGCGCATTAGCCTCGATCGATTAAGTGGATGCATAAGTGAGGCGTAAAAAC